TAAGGTGGCATATGTGCCCTACTCCAAGAACAATGCTGCTTCTACACCAACAAATCCAGTCTCATTTGGGATGGCACAAAACACCTCTGTGAACAAGCCTCCAAACTCCTAGAAAACTCCCCTGACAATCTGTTCCCTTACCCTTTCAATTGGCCCTTGCCCCTCCTAGCCCCTGTTACCTTTCTTCTTCTTTTCCTTCCCTGCTTCATTAACCTATTCCAAAAATTCATTTAAAATCAGATTTTGAAAATTTCTAACCATACTGTCAACCAGTTACTCCTCCAGAGCTATCAAGGCCTTCTCACAAAGAATAACGAAACTAGCTAGATGACATCACGAATCATCTCAGGATGCCTACCCTTCCCCAACTCTACAGCAATGGCCTTGCTAACCCCAGACTCTATGCCCCCTTCCAGAAGGAAGTAGCTAGAGAATGAGATCCTACACCCAGTTTCCCAGAGGCCCAATTAAGAAAAGAAAAAGATGAGAATGAAGGAAAATTCTGGCATGCTATGACTCCCACTCCTTAAGATCCAATCACCACCGACCAGATGGTCGCCCACCCCTTAAGATCCAATCACCAACACAGAACACACCCTACCCCTACTCCTTAAAAATGCAGTTCCTCACCCAAGAGCTGCTGCTCCGTCTCTCTGGGGCAGCCATTTTCTCTTTCAGATAATAAAATCTCTTGTGTGGGCCCGTGTCTCCTGAGTCATTCTGGGGTAAGGAGGATCACGGCGAGATACCTTTTCAATATCTGCTTTGATTCAATAGTTACTTATAAGCATATAATTTCAAAATGTGTGTTTTTTGGGTTTCTCTTATGCTGTCTAGTTAAATTTGGATATAATCATAACACATACTCTATGATTTCAATTCTTTTAAATATGTTAAATTTTGGTCTCTCTTAGTACATGTTTACATGCGCTTTAAAACAAAGTTGATGTTGGTTTGTTTTATCAATTGCAGTTAGTTCAATTTTGTTTGTTTTTAGAGAACTTCTTATTAATCTTCTATCTTGTTCTAGAGAAGTGGTGAAACCTGCAACCAAAATTGTGGATTTGACTATTTCTTCTTTCAGTTCTACCAGTTTTTGCCTAAGGTATTTTGAACCTCTGCTGTTAGGGACATACGCATTGAGGATTGCTGTGTCTTCTTGAAAAATTGACCTTTTTATTTGATGATACCTTTTTTTATTCCTGTATAATGTTTCTTGTTCTAAAGTCTATTTTGTGTGATTTTACAATTTCCTGTTAATTAACGTTTACAAAGTATACTGTTTTCCAACCTTTAATTCTTAAGCTATATTTTAATATTTAAAGTTGCTTTGTCTTCTATGGGAAGCATTTAGTTGTGTCTTGTTTTTCTTTTTTAATCCAGTCTGGCAAATGCCATCTTGTAATTGTTGCCACTTATAAATATGCCATTTATATTTAGTGCCATTTTTTATATGACTGGATTTCAATCTACAATCTTAGTATTTATTTTCTACTAAGTTTATTTTTTGCTTTCTTCCTTTTGTGCATTTGTAAGCCTGCTTTGGGATTAATTTAGTTTATTTTCTGAATTAATTCTATCCCCAATAGTGGCCAGTTTTTACAATTATTTATTTTGTTTTCAATTGCCTTTGTGTTAATTATCTTTAATTAGTTACAATCTAACTTCAAATAGTAGTATATAACATCAAGTATAATATTAAGGAACACACAACAGTGTACTTCTAATTCCTTTCTCTCTTGTTTTATACTATTGCTGCCATGTCTTTTACAGATTCTATAAGCTCATATTGTTGCATTTTTGTTTTAGACACTCAACTATTTTTAGAGTTATATAAAACTCCCTGTGTCTAGTATTCCTAAGTTGTCTATATTCTAACAACCACTTCCACTGAGCCATGAACACTTGACTGAAAACTTTACCTGTATCCTTACATGCCTTATGATACCAGAGCCTCTTCCTAAACTCTATCAAAGGTGAACCAAACCCACTCCCAATCTTCTCTTGGAGACGTTTGTCTTTCCTTAGATATCAGATTGCTTGTTTACTCTGCCTCTTATCTCTGATGAGTTTACGAAAAGCTGTTAATTTTGTACTTTCTCCTTTTTCTTCTTAGATTGGTAACAATTTTTTTTTCAATAGCCTACATGGAATCAGACCACCTATAATTGAAATTTAAGAAACAAGAATTGCCAAGGTAAAAAGTATTACATTTGAACTTATTAGTGCATTAAGTATACACTATAGAGGAAATGAATTAACTTGTTCCTCTGAATTGTGACTATATTTTATGGAATGTTCAATTTTAAAATGGATATTTTATGGTTTCATCATGTAATTATCTGTGTTCTATAACTTGAATCGGCCATCCAATTGATGGAGGTTACTGAAGTGAATTGTCAGAAAGCATAAATATATAAACAGCAAATTTATTTCAAATGTTTACTCAGCAAATAATTATTCAAGCACATTATTGAAAGTCAGGGTGTTAATGTGATAAAGACTGTTCAAACACCTTCTCTGGATGTACCTGGGATTTCTGCTTAGAGGTCATATTAACAGTTAAGGAATGAGAGACAAGACAGTTTTTTAAAGTCGTAGAGACAAAATACAGAGTAGAAGATTTGATGATATCAGTGACATACTGTGAAGAAAAATTCAAACACGAATAAAATTAATAAAAATAATATAAATAAACCATGTATTTTAGAAAGTGAATGCTAGAGACAGATAAATTATAAAAATATGATAACTATTTTCAAAGAGATAAAGGTTAATATTAGTACCAAGCCAGCAGTAAGTCAAGGTATGTCAATTTTAGAGAAATAGTTGAAAATGAAAGGAATTTTGAACAGTTCATTAGCAGGCATGTGCAAGTGTTCTAGTGAGGTCTAAAGAAGCTGGAGCAGTCTCCTAACAATGAGCTTTTGAAGCAGACTGGCAAAGATGTCCTTTCAGGACATGGTTCTACATTGAGAAGAAATTACTGAGAAAAAGATGTAGAACAGAAAATTTCAAAGGAAATGAAAGGAACTTTCAAGAGGAAAGTGAAGGAGCAGACCAGAGATAGAGAATCTCAGAAATCAAATCATCATATTTTTGAAAACTACATAAAAACAGAAGAAGACAAATCTCTAATTAATTAGAAAAGCTATCCTAAACTAGCTTTAAAACATCCAGTAAAATGTACTTCACATAACAATGAGCAATGGGAAGAAGTTATGGATCAAAGCCCCTAAAAAGTTATTATAAGAAAAAAGAGAATAAATAGCAAAATAGCATAGCTACAGAAAATAAAAGCATACCAGAAAGATATGTATACAAACTGATCACAATTATGTTTAAGTCAATGACTTCATCATGATACTATAGGAAAAAAGGTCTAATAGTTCACTTTTAAGATGATGAATTTTATTATTTTGAGAACTTGAAAGTGAAGGGAAATTATTTATATTGTCTTTACTAGAAGAGTTTTACCACTAGGTAATGAACTATTGGAAGGAGAAAAATGTCTCTTTCTGGAAATATTCCATCTTATAATTGAAAAGAAATGATAAAATATTACCATTTCCTAGCTCACTCTAAATACTTGCATCTCAACATTAAGGAGCAACTGATGCTAACATCATAAAAAGTGAGACAAGCAGATAGACATGTCTCCTGAGGAAAGAACACAACACTCTCCAGAGTTATCAAAGTGATCAGATTCAAGTGACTTTAATTTTGGATCCATCTTCCCATGTGCAGGAAACAGAGAGAAAAACCATGCAATCATAAAAATCTAGACTTTGAAAACTCTACAAGTCAAATACCCTGGGTTCTTCAACAAATTAATTGTAAAGAAAAGAAAGGAATAGAGGAGGATTTGCAGGATAATGGAGACTCAACCAAAATAAATAATAAAAAGGGGTGGACTTAGGGATTGTGTGTAGGGATGCACTAGACTATAAAGAAACATAAGGGATTAATATGAATTTCAGAAGACTATAATTTGGAGAGGAAAAAGTAGTTGTGATTAGGAAAGTATACATGGAAGACTTTTAGAAATCTATGCTAAGCAAATAACTACATTACAGACACACCATTACCAAAATTTGGGGGGAGTCTAAGAGAATAAGTTCAAGTATATTACAGGTAACTCAAGTCTACCACACCTTTATAATGTGGTGGCTGAGGACTGAACTGCCACCTGGATTCAAATCCCATCTGCATTTTGGCAGCAGAACTTTGGACAAATTTCTTCACCTGTGAAATAAAAATAGCATCTCTCTTGGTTCTTCATGAGAATTACAAGAAATACTGTAAGAAAATTCAGTTTTACATTTTGCAAATGAGATATTCATAGAATCTTTGTGGTTATTATTCAGAAGTGAACATGTACATCTGTAATTGTCAACCCAGCCAGACTCTCCATATTTCTTCTAGGTAAAACTAAAAAAGTAAGATTTAATTCTTACAAGTTGATACTTGAAATGTAAATTGTAAAACTTCAACTGAAGTGAAAATACTCATTAAGTTCATAAAGCATAATATGTCTTCCAGGTGGAGTGACAAATATTTTTCAAATTCTGTTCCGTTCTTTAGACTCCATCAGGTTCATTACCAATTTTGTTCAATATCCTTATTTCCAAGATGCTTTATCTTTCTCTCTCTCTCCATATGAGTCCTGAAAAGTTTTTAGGTTACTCTAAAGTCACTGTTTTCAGCTCTCTTTTCATAGCAGCTTAGCATGTAGTTTAACTCATCTAAGAACCACTAAGTGCTAAAAGCTGCTCTATACATACACTGAGGCATTTTTATGCCATTCTTTTATAGACAGAGTTATGAAAATAGAAGATGTTGGAATATACTTATTCATTCAAAGTATTCATTTATTTGATGAATATTTATCTAACAACTATATGTGCTAAGCACTGTGCAAGACATGAGAGAGACAGCACCAAGCAAAACCCTAAATTCTGCTCTCAAATATACCGTTATTGAGAGAAGCAGACACTCACCAAATATCGCAAGTAGAAGTCTAAAAATTACTGATGTGGCAATTGTTTCAATGTGAGGAGCATGCTAAAATAGAGAAAATAAAAGATTAGTCTCAGTCACAGATATTTACTACCTAATAGCTGCATACAAGGAACAGGGATAATGCAAAGACACCTGCCCTCCATTACTCCAGAATCTGTGAGATGCAATAAACAATAAAAATAGAATGACTAGGCAAGGCATTATGTTGGTACCACAAGAGCTTTGAGAGATGAATGGATGTATCATTGGCATGACTAAACCTGCCTAGTGGTTTTTTAATGTATGCAAAACAATACACCGCTTTGCAACGTGTGTATCTTCTAATATAAAACATCTACATCTGAGCTATGAGAAAAATAGATTGAAGTTGTATTTACACATATTCATTTTTTTATATAAGCATTGACTGTGAGTTAATCTGACTAGAGGTTTCAACCATGCTTTGAAATTACTTGATTTACATTATGTCTTTCTTAGAGGAGATTTGTTGAAGCACATAGAGCAAATCTTCCCCTAAAGCTTCTAGATTTTAAATCAATCAGTAAATGGAATTTTAAGCGGTAACCACATAACTTAAGTTTCCTAATTCCAACATAAGATTGTGAAGAAATTGTTGAATATTCAGGATGAGTTCAACCGAAGCTTGTCTGAGTTCACTCCCAGGTTTGTTAACCTTTGGGGGAAAATCTTACTGTGAGTATAGAATGCACTAAAAAACAAAGACAGGCTTATCCAAGCCTCATAGGAGTGCTATACAGTTAGCTAACCTGACTTTTGATTCAATGGTTAGGGTTTTAACTTTAGGATATAGTAAATTTGTATTAGTTACATATAAAATCTCTTGTCCTGATTTCCAGAGCTGGAGAACTGGAGTATAACAAAATTCTGGGAAATAAATGTTATGTAGTTATATAAGTTTTATATGTATTTATAAATCTGGTGGTTTTAAGAGTGGGTTTGCAGATATTTAGTATTGAAAAGTTAGTTAAATTAATAAGACTCCTCAGTTTTCAGGACTCATGACATAAAACCATCATTATATACTGAATGTTTATATACACCCCAAATTCATATGTTGAAACCCCAATGCAATGATATTCGGAGGTGGGGCCTTTGAGCCATGATTACACCATGAGGGTGGAGCCCTCATGAATGGGACTAGTGCCTTAGAAAAGAGACCCCAGGGAGCTCCCTTGCCCCTTTTGCTGTGTAAGGTCATAGCAAGGACACAGCCATCTACGAACCAGGAATCCAGCTCTCATCAGACAAGGATCTTCCATCACTTCGATCTTGGACTTTCCAGCCTCCAGAATTGTGAGAAATAAGTGTTTGCTATTTAAGCCACCCAGTGTATGGCATTTTTGTTATATTAGTTTGAATGGACTAGATGAATGAAAAGAGGGAGAATGACTGTTCTTGTTCCAGTCAGCCTCTGAATCTCACAATAGTCTTTGTGGCATACCTATTTATGCAAATTTTCATTCATCCACCTAAGGTATCATTGAAGAATATACATTTTATAAGCACTCATGGGAATTTCTAAAATATAGCAGGTGTATTTAACATAAAGTTACAGTAGTAAATTTAATTTTGAAAAGAAAATATTATGTATCAGATATGCCAAGATTAAACCAAAATTTATAGATACTGTTAAACCTTAGGCAGCTTTAGGATAGATTTTATTCCCTTTTCTAGGTGGACCTATAAGATCTCAGGGTGCATGTTGAGTAGCCATATTTCCTACAGGCTCTGGTTATTGAAAATGGCCAAGAATTCCCTACCAGGTCTGACTTGGTCAAATCACTCTGCTTACTGCCACTAGAACTCATCTCTTCTAATCTTTCACACACACTTTACCAAGGTTCACTTTTATCCCAAGACGGAGAGAAACAACTTTGCTGGTAGTTGCTATATTGTTTCTCCTTTGTTCCTCACTTTTTCAGTTTTTGGACAGTAACTGCTTTGGGTTACCCCTATGACCATTAAGCCACTCCTCCATAGTAAATCCCTTTATTACTGTCTAGTTAAATATTATAGGCTCACTTAATTCTATTATTAGATTATTTCATTTTGTTGGATCAAAATTCCTTATTCATTTACTTGTCTTTTGAAATGTTCAGTCACTCTATGATTAAAAAGAAAGAAAAAATGGGTTATCTGATGTCTAATTTGGAACAGATAAACAGTCCTTCTGGACCGCTGTATGAAATACAGCAAAACATTACCACAGAAACCCCTGTCTATACAGTGTGGTTTATTCTGAAAAGATATGAGACCAGTGCTACTCCTGGTCAATTAAAATTTTGTGCTTGAATATGTCATGATTTGTTCTCTAACTTTGATGGATTAACTTGAGAGATGTCAAAAGTGGCTGCCAAGTTTAGGGAGGAAAACAAGATAAGATTTATCCGTACCAAGAAATCTCTGTATATGTCTGGTTTTTATCACTTGCATTGCCAAACAATTATATACTCTAGAATGATCTCAGTGAATAAGGAATGAAAAGATGCACTCTATCTCTTTTTTGCCAACACTGTTATTTATCGGATTATCTAAGCTTTAAAATTATGACAAGACATGAATAACGGCAAGTGTAACTACAATGTCAGAAACCTGAATTATATAGTCCATATGGATTATCATAGTACTATGGAATTTTAGTGTTTCAAAGAACTTTAGAGACAATATAATGACCTTCCAACATTTTTCCCAAAAGTTTTTAGCCTACTAATCAATGGATACACAGCTCTTGTAAAGACAATGTTAAGTGAAAGACATTTCTTATGTGTCATTTCTGTAAGGTGGACAATTGCTACCTATCATTTCAGCAGGGTGGCTGAAATGCCACAACTAGACTGTATGTTTTATAGATATAAATGCCAAATCCCTCAAATCTGACTCTGCTCCCCAAACACCCTATGTTCCTGTTAGAGTACATGACTTTTAGGAAGCAAGACCCTCTGTTACTTAAAATAATTAAAAAATTCACATTAGTGCTAAGCATTCTAATTGTACTGGAAATTTAAGACAAAAATCTCTCAGTGTAGGTTTAAATATGAGGCTAAAATAACAACTGTTCATCAGCCAAACAAGTGGTGTTCCATCCAGCGTGTTCTTCTGGATAGAGTTGCTCTTCTTTATACCTTTTTGATTCAGCAGATTTCCACTCCTTTAATAACACCATACTTTTATATCTTTGCTCTCATTTTGTTAATAAGCATGCATGTCGGAAAGAACACTGATATGTGATTAATAGACATTTTGAGCAGAATTAATTAGCATGCACAAATCAATTTAAATATCACTTGGTTCCACATAATTTTAATGAAAATTATTTTGTGGGGTGTTCTTCATCAAGTTCATAAGCAACTTTCATCAAATCCCACAGCCTTTGCTTTACCAAAACAAATTGCCTGATTGAATTAGCTGCCATAAGTCTAGCTACCTTCGCTGCAAGGTGTCAGAGGCACAGCTGTGGTTAAAAAGAAGAGCAATTTTACAACTACCAGCCTTGGCAGAATGAAACACATACTGTTTTTCAAGGAGACTGACATTTTCACTCTGAATAACCAGTTGAAATTTAAATTGAAAATGTTTCCAAAATCTGAAAAAACATTTCATATTTAAAATATATTACATTGATGTTATACTTTCAAGAAAATAGAAATTAATACAAATCTAAAGAGCCTCTATAATTCTTTTTTTGCAAAATGCGTTTTAGTTTTACAATAGATAAACTTGTCTATACATTTAATGATTGAACAAATTTGCTGTTTTAGGAAATACTGTTTTATAACACATAAAATTAAAAATTTTAAGTAGGATATTTCATATACTAATATTATGGCATATTGTGAAGACTGACAACTATAACTACATTGTCAGGAAACTGTATAGCTCACTTGACAGAAGTCAAATTTGAAGAATTGCAAATTAAGCAAGACAATGAGCTTCTATATTCACTTCCAACTCTAAAATTTTCAGTAACTTAGTATTGAAAACTCTTTTTAAAATGATAGTTCTCAAATGTGAAATAACTAGGGGTCTCTTTGTTCTGGTGAAGTGAATAGATTAATGTATTGTGAGCACACCCTATGTACACTGTTTCCAGATAGCACTACACTCTGGCTACCTCTTCCCTTAAAAGGACAAAAGAAAAGGCAAAAAATCACAGTAAAACTAAGAAAACTGAGTCAAATGTGACTCCTTTACGTGACAGACATCCTAACAGAAGAGCTAAGGTTTATCAAAGCCAAGTACCTGTTATCATACTGTAGAGAACATCCCAGATCATTCTGACTTTGAAACCTATTTACCAGGCCTGGCCTCAGCTCTGGCCATTTTTTTTACTCTCTTTATGGTAAACAATCTATGGTGAAGTGAATAGATTAATGTATTGTGAGCACACCCTATGTACACTGTTTCCAGATAGCACTACACTCTGGCTACCTCTTCCCTTAAAAGGACAAAAGAAAAGGCAAAAAATCACAGTAAAACTAAGAAAACTGAGTCAAATGTGACTCCTTTACGTGACAGACATCCTAACAGAAGAGCTAAGGTTTATCAAAGCCAAGTACCTGTTATCATACTGTAGAGAACATCCCAGATCATTCTGACTTTGAAACCTATTTACCAGGCCTGGCCTCAGCTCTGGCCATTTTTTTTACTCTCTTTATGGTAAACAATCTCTTGCTTGCTTTAACCAGCCTGTAATCAGAAGCTCCCTTTGAGCAAACTATCCTTATTTGATTTTTGTCTTCTCCTATGCCCCAGACATGCCTCTTTCTTCAAGAACCATCATTGTGGTTGTGGTTTAAGTCATCCACCTCCTGAGTCTCAGGCCCTGCAGAAATCAATGGTTTCAACTAATTACCAGGAAAAAGAGGTGGTACCAATTCCTGCCCTAGTATAAACAGACATCCTATCTTGCCAAGCAAGGATCCTTGCTATAGTTACACTTACATTTAATATTCAAACACATACATTTGTAAACAAATGGAATATACAAACTATAAACATGAAAATAAATATGAATATATTCATTTTATAAATATATATGTATAATTCATAAGATAATTTCAGAGCAATTTCATTTTCACCAAATTAAATTTGTGAAGCTCAAGGAACTTATTAACTTTGGTTATTTAGGTAGTATTCCTTCCCTGCTGCTCATGACTAAATTTTCTGGAACAGAATAGCTATCTAGCTATATCAAATATCCACTGTTCTTTTAAGAACTAATGTTTATATTATATTTTTCCTCCCTATCTCTTTCAAGAAATAATTTTCAGGTGAAACTGCACTTGAAGAAAGTTTTAGTATTATATTCCATACACTCTGTGAGGCAAAGTAAAAGAAAATTAAACTCACACTGTTTCTTCCTTTGCTGCTAACAGACGTTTTGAGTTTCAAGTAGACTTGTATTCTGCTCACTGAATAAAAGCTTTTTTAAAAAAAGCTTTCATGATATCAAACATTTCTTTGTCTCTGAATATATTTGTTTATTGAAAAACAAAACTTTTGGCAATTGACATACTTAGGATGTTTTTTCTTTCCCTTTAAGTTGAAAAAACACATGATAAACATTTGTCATAAATTGTATGCTTACCTTTCATTCCTGGTTTTGATCCAGCAAGTGTTCTCCATCATCACAATCTCTTCATCTGGCATATTTAACTGATGACTCTGCAGATAATGCTGAAAGAAGATGATTTAATAATACTCTTCATGTTTTAGTCGCAGGTTAAGCTGGTTTTATTTTATATATATTTCAAATCTCTCTCTTTTCTACATGAAAGCATCTAAGTTTTCCTTCTTTTTCATATGGAAAAAAAGGTTCCATTATAAACAAGTATTTCTTTTTATTTTTATTTACCAGTGTACTCTTCAATCTCTTTAAGAGTGCCTGCTTTCTTTTTTAAAAAATAATTTTAAAGGGGCCTCCAATTAACACCTATTTAACAAATGAACTCCATTAAATGTTTAGAATGTGCTAAGTACTAAGCATAAAAAATATGATTGAAACTGATACTTAGGTAAAGGACTCATGAGATATCAGCAATGAAATGCAAAGCAATAATTCTGTTCAAGGAGACCATGAAATGGAGAAAACAATAAATATTAGTTTGGAGACTCACAGGCCTGTATAAAATAGAGACTGAGTCACTTTAAAGGAGTGTAACATTGGTCAAATTCCTTATTCTCTCTGCATTACACTATCGTCTTTAAAATACCTACCTACAGAGAAAAGTGAGCAAGCATCCTAAGCTACAGGTAGTGCTTTGTCCATTACCTATAATTCTCAGGTGCACTAATTTTCAGGCAAATTCAGAAGGAAAATGGCTTAAAAATCTGCAATTCTAAAGGACATTGTGAGAGAAATAGAAAATACCTGCAATATGATGAGTATAATAAAAAAGAAAAATGTGGATTTCCACTTGCAGTCCAAAAAGGAGCAGGCTCTTTCCTCCCAGGTTATCCCTGCTACAACTAAAAATCCCTGGACAGAACACAAGCAAGTCGAAGACTCTGACAGATGGAAACAAGAATGTGGATTGTCTAGGGGCACCGAGACTTCAGGAATAGCACAGTGGTGGTCCCTTGAGCGTGGTCCTCATTGCCTCTCACGTCTCTGGGCAGAGTGCTGCAGAAGATTCCAACCCGCAGTCTCCAACAGGCAAAGACAGAACCAACCAACCAAAACCACAAAGCAAAACAAAAATCCTTAAAGTGAATCCTGTTCCTGAAGGGCCCTACAAAACAGAAAACCAGTTTTGGAAATACGTACCCTACTCTAGCCGTCTCACTGAGGCTGCACTGGGAGCTGATCTTGCATCCTGTCCTTCTCCACCAAAGCAGGAGGCAGCTCGCTGCACCCCAGGCCAAGTGGCATCCACTGGAACAAACAGGGAGCTGAGCTTCCACCCCAGACCTGGCAGAAGGAGGTACTGCTCCAATTTCCCTGCCAGCAGGTAATTTGCAAACGAAGTAGAATCTTCCTTTCCCTACCCACTCATTCCTTTTTCTGTCATAAAATTAAAATAGTAAACCAGAGAAATACTTTTTTCATACACTACTTTTACACTGCCTGCCAGCAGTATGACTTATTTTAATCCATTTCTTCTGGTTTCTGTCACTTAGGACTCAAGTTTTTATACCATATCATGGCATATATTTTATTTCCTTCTGCCAAACACCTTCTTAATTTTTCCTATTAAGAAAAACTTCCCTAAGTGAAAGTGAATTCTATAATAATTTCTACTTAAAACACCCTTGTAAAATATTGATTATGAATTACACATTTATAATAATTTTTGCTTCGTTTACTGCATTTTCCAAATGGATGTATAATTGTGTTTGCCATATGTCTATTAATGTTATTAATATCAGAATTAAATTTATAAGCATAATAATATATCAGAGCAGCATTGGAAAATTAGAAATTAGAAATTTGATGCTATCAAGAGTCAGTATAATATATTTTTAATTGCTTGAAGAACCTCCATACTGTATTCAATAGCAGCTATATTATTTTAAATTTCCACCAACAGAATCCATGTGTTCCCTTTCACTCATATCCTCACCAACACTTGTAATTATTTGTTTTTTTGATAATAGCATTCTAAAAGGTCTGAAGAGGATACTTATGGTGGTTTTGATTCACATTTTCCTGATGTTTAGTGATTTTGAGCCCCTTTTCATATTTTCATATGTATCAGTTTGTTTTTATGCCCATACTGTACTGTTTTAATAATTTAAAATATAATTACCATGTGACCCAGCAATCCCACTTCTGGATATATAGCCAAAATAATTGAAATCAGAATCTCAAAGAGATATTTGTACTCCCATGTTCACTGCAGTATCTTCCCAGTAGCCAACCTAGAGAAACAACCTAAACATCCATCTGAATGAATGAATCAAAAAATGTGATATATACACACAAGGAGATATTATTCAGCCATAAAAAAGAGGGAAATCCTGTGATATGCAACAATATGGATAAATATGGAGGACATTACGTTAAGTGAGATGAGTCAGCCACAGAAGGACAAATATTGCATGACCCCACTTATGAGATAACTAGAATAATCAAATTCATAGAAACAGTAGAACAGTAGATGCAAGGGGCTGGGAGGAGATGGAAAGGAAGAGTTATCTTTCGACAGGTATAAAGTTTCAGTTGTGCAAGGTAAGTTCTAGAGATTTGTTGTATACCGTGCTTACAGTTAACATTACAGTATTATGCACTTCAAAATTTAAGAGGATATATCTCAGTTAATTGTTGTTACCTTTATTTTATACAATAGTAAATAAATAAGTAAAAACATTTTTTAAAAGAATGAATACATAGACTATAGTAAAAAAAAAATGCCTTAAATTGTAAATCTAGGGCTATGGCTGTGCCCTTTTGGCAATATCTTTTACTTTAAACTTAGAAATGCTTGAGAAAGATGTTGCTAATAAACCCTGAGAAATTAGGAGATACCAAAAATTCCATCTTCCTCATAAAAGATCTCTTCATTTTTAGAAGGATATTATTATTTGTTAAATACTATATTAAATAAGATATTTGTTAAATAAATAATGTTTGCTAAAAAATATATTAAAAGCCATATGATTTTTGTATAAAGTGTGTTTCATCTGTATGTTCTGAAATTTTGCTGAAGATTGAAAAGTATTCTGCTCAGCTTATAACAATTTTTCATGTAAATAAATTACTGTGGAAATTGATACATGTAAATAATTTATGATGTGATTAGTTGTTTGTAAGCTGGTAAGTTTGCAAGTACCACAATTGGATTTCCTTGGCTTCCCTCAGTTGACTTTACTGTGTCTCATATCAACCGCAGAGCTTTTTATCTCACCCCTATTTCACAGGGTCAAGAATTGATATTAACCCTTTTCCAAACCAACAGCTACAACTGAAAAATCACATAGCAAAAACATGTCCACAGAATATAAAGAAAGGTGAAGGGGAAAAGGGTAGCAAGGTGGCTTTTCTGAGAAATAACCAAGTTAAAAAATGATATTTTTAGATTCGTAAGTATTGTGAAAGAGCAAAAATAAAAAAGAAAGGAAGAGCAAGTGATAGGCTCTTGCCTGGAACGGACACTTGCACCACAAGGAAAACGCAATGAAAAAAATGAAAAGCTGCTCACTGACCTTTCCCTCAGTGTACCGAAGGTAAGGCTTGCTTGTTCTTTCTAATAATATGGCTGATAAAATACGACTTCTTATACTTGGCACTTTTCAGTTTCCCTTATTGCACAGAGAATCACGTCACCCTTTAGTGTTCCAAACAGAATACAAAAAAATCACTGTGGCAAATAATGATTTTAGCTGCTTAAATTGCAATCACTTATAAATCTATGGCAGACAAGCTGTTATACTAAAGTGAACTGAAGGCTTGCGCCCTGGGTAAAACACATGGCTCAACATTGAGGGCCCCAGAGCTCTAAGGATAGTCAAGGATGTGGCAAAGAAGGAAGAGGATTCAGAAGGAATCAGGAGACAGAGCATTCTTTAGTAACTCTTGATGCAAGATTTTGCCAACACACCAAGAGAATAAATATGATAATATAATAATAATAATAATAATAATAATAAAAGTAATAACTTACAATAACAGCAACTGCTATGAGTATTAGCACTCACCTGCTCCTATAGTTTTAGGTCCTGTATCCTAAACAATTTGCTTATAGTACTTCATTTAATTCTTTCAATAACTCTAGTTCTCAGGTTTCAAAAAATGACATTATGGTATACAAAGGTCAAATTATCTAAGGCCAAACAATTATCAGGTGGCAGCAATAGGCTCCAAACTGAAGCAATGTGGTAAAGATTATGTATTTTAGAAGGTAATGAAAGGCTTACTATCCATGACTCACGGATTCTGAAAGCACTCATATTTCATGTACTTTTATTATATTGATCTTTTCCAACATGCATTCATATTATGACATGTTTTTCACTATTACCCATTCAACCTGATAGGTTAGAATTACCCATATCACTACTTTCCATACATTTTCTACATTTAAGAGGCCTGATAATAACAACATAAATTTGTGTGACACTTGACACTTTACACAACATTTTTACAACCTGTTCACAATACTTCTAGATAGATCAGGTATAATTTCCAAGCTTCCACAAATGGGTCCTCATTTGCCTCCCTCTTTTGACCTCCCTCTATTCTCATTTCACTTAAATTGGGCTACAAAATATTATTTCATAAGGCTACAAAATTGCCTTCGTGTATGCCATCCTTTGTATCTGTATTTATTACCTTTGCATAACCAAACATCTGTTGCTTAAGACCCAGTTCAGATACTCCTCCTCTATGAGAATTTACCTATTTTCCCCACCTGATAGTGATATATTTTCCACTTCTGGATTTCTAGTGCACATTGTTTTCCCTCATTACCTTCTAATTTTTCATTAAAGGGGAGAAAATGGCTATGAAGGACCTAAAATCTAAATATTTTGAGTAATTAATTTTTCTTCTATAAAGAAACAGCAATTATCTTAATCTGGTATTTGCGATAAGCAGTATTTTTTTGTTCCTGTGCACAGCATGAGTAAGCTTTCAAGAAATATGATGAGCAACAACAAATAACTTTATATAATAAGCAATTACTTATATACAAGATATAAAAATTATTTATAAGTACTAAGTAAGTCTAATTTCTCCTCATCTCTCCCTTTGCATGATACGCTCATTGAGTGTAGGATTCTGTTCCTTTTGTTTCCCCTAGCAGAATCTAGCCTAGCACCATACACATTGTAGGAATTCCATATATTTCAGATAAAAGGAATAAATATACTTTCAGAAGAGAATTTATGGGCAACTTAAGTGGCTTGTGTCAGAACTCAATCTAGGAATTTTGACTCTTAAGCCATTCCATGGAAAGAAGGTAATATTGGATGATACCTAAAAGCCACTCAAAATATCCCCATATTCTGATATCAAACCACTCTACCCTCAAGTATTGTTCATTCATTTCACCTGTAACTTGTCCAGATGATTCATAACTGAATTCACGTTTTGATTTTCCTCCTTTGTCATGCTCCCATTGTGTCTCGTACTGTCGTAGATTTCTGTGGGGAAAGATAATTTTCAAGATTATTTCACCTTCAATTCTGCATGTTAATCTAAAACTGTCTTTAGTTGAATTAAAAACAAGCAGAGGAACAGAAAAAATTTCTGGGAACTTTGTAAGTCACCAGAGATACTTTTAATAGAAAAGAGTGGAATGAATGTAATTAATCTGATCTTAATATTGGTTTACAGCATATTACATGAGCATATCATGTGTTTCTTTTAAAGTTGTACAGAAGTTTGAAATACTGGGAAGTCTTAGGCTGTGACAAAACTGTAAATTAATGATGTATAACTAAAATAATGATGACAGAAATGAACAAAAAATATTTTGAATTGGGCATCTACAAGGCCTTTGTGCTTGAGTTGGAAGTCCCTATTTTCTGTTTGATATAGTTATTAAGAGCATGCATTAGTTGTACCGATTTACTAGACTGCCTTTTCTCTAGGTGCTTCTGGCACTTTTAATCATTCTTTTCAGAGAACTCATGCAATTGCCACCCTTTGCAGGCAACAACTGTAATTCCAAAATGTGTCAAAAGCTGTCACAGATCTGCTTTATTATTTAGTTAAACTTGAAAAAAAAAGATTTTTATCTCTATCCAAAGGCATTTTTTAGAAGAAATTACATACAAATGCACAACACAAAAGAAACTGAATGAGAAAAGAAAATTGACATTTTGATTTGTGGGCTCTCCAGTAGGTCTATCATTCATCCAGAAAAATATCACTATTGTCACTCTTCTCTGGCAGGGAGACTAATTGGTG